CCTTCACAACTTCCATTGGGTTGTTGAACCCAATGAACCTAGGAACCTAGCTGGGTTCCATTTTTATTTTTTTTTCCTCTCTTTCCTCTTCCTTTTCCTCTTTCTTCTTCCCTTTCCTTTTCCCTTTCAACTTCTACTTGGTTCTTGAACCCAACGAACCTAGGAACCCAGCAGCTGATGGGTTCTTCCCAGCTGGTGGGGTCACAAATCCAACAGATCGGGTTCTTCCCAACTGATATATTGGGTTCGCAGCCAGTAGGTTCTTCCCAACCTATCATGAACCCAACAACCGCTAGGTTTTTCCCAACAGATTTGCTAGATTTTGATTGGTTTAGGTTTTTCATCTTCTTACTGTTTGATTTTTAGTCTTTGTTTTAGGTACTTTAGCTGGGTTTTTGTAGAAATTTGGGAGAAGATGCCTTGATTTTTCTGGGTTTTTTGGAAGGTTGAGAGGAACATTGATTATTTTGGGGAGATTTTGGGTTTATGTTTGTGTTATGCTTGGATTTGATGTTAGAAGGTGTCTAGGTTTGCAGAAAGTGAAAGGAAAGGAAAAGGAAGAAGAAGGAAAAAAAGGAAAAACAAAGAGAGCCAAAAATGGGGGTTTGATTTTGAACCCAGTAGGTGACGTGATGGGTTTTTTGTGGGTTTGAAAAGTGGTGATGAAAGTGGATTTCGAGGAAAAATATTGATGAATTGATTGTTTGATTCAGAAAAATGGTGATAAAAGTAGACTTGGAGGAGGCAAAGAGAGAGAAAAAGAAGAATGAATGAAATTTTGGGAAAGAGGATGCTGGAGAAAGAAGATGAGAGTATAATTATAATTTTAAATGAATTAGATAATTATAGTTTGACACATCATTTATTTATCCATGTTGTTAAGTTGACATGTTATAATATTTTTACATGTCATTGAGTTTCATTGAGTTAATGAGACATGTGGGCCGATTTTTAATAGAAGGATCAAATCAGGTTAAAATAATAAACAGTAAAAATCAAATCAAAGATCTTTTGAGCTGAGTGACTAAATCGAAGGTTCATACAATAGTTAAGAGATCAAAATAAAGATTTAACCTAAAAAATATACATAAAAAGTTTTTAAATTAAAGTTTTCAATTATACTCACCTTAATCATCGAGTTTTTAATTTTTAAACTTAACAATTAAAATTTAAATTGTTTAAAATTAGTTTAATATGATTTTAAATCAAACAAATATAAGACCAACTCAAACCCTGTCTGTGGATTAAAGTTTCATTAGCTTTCAAATT